AGAAAGAAAGAAAGAAAGAAAGAAAGAAAGAAAGAAAGAAAGAAAGAAAGAAAGAAAGAAAAGGTCTCGGGAGGCAAAATGAGTGGCTAAGGTCACAAAGCTGGCCAGCCACAGAGCCAAGGTCCAACCCTGGGCTCTTGGCTCCTCGCTCAGCGAATTCTCTGTTAGTCCCATGGCCCAAGGAGTCATGACTGAAACTTCACAGGGAACATCAATTCTGAAACAAGCAGCATGCTGGCGTCTATATCCTGCGGGTTTACTGCGACGGGCAAAGCAGATGAAGGTGGCTCGACTGGCTCACATCTGTGCACGCGCACCTGCGCGTGTATATCACGGCTTCTTTGCTTTAGGTTTCTGCTTCTCTTATAAACAGCAATGTTTTATTTGGCTTCATTATTTTTAAAGAAACCTCCACTCAAAAAGCCGCGTCAGGTGTCCCCAAGTATCAAAATGGCATGTTCTGCTTTAGGTAGCAATAGTGGCTGAGTCACCAGGTGACTCAGTTTGTCCCACTTCGGCCCTGGGATATGTGCCAGAGTGGGAGGCAAGAGGAAGCAGCAGCGAAACTTGTCCCTGCTGTTTCTCACGGTCAGCTTGGGTGTGATGGCAGAAGAGGCCAAAGGTGCTGGCTGGGCCACGGCTTCACATTCTCGGTGGCTTTCAACTGTCCCAGGTGCCCGAGGCTTTGTATTCCCGATAGCTCTGTGTCACTTCCTTAGAACCTGCCCGACAACTAGGGGCCCACACACACTTTGTGCCTCCCTGTGGCCTGGTCGCTCAGCTCCATTTCCTAAGGGGTAAGGCCTGGGCTCTGGCAAGCTCGTTTGTCTGGTGACTCAAAAAGGCTGTCATTGTAACATCATCCGTCACAGTGATTGCCGACTCTGGCTCTGCGTCAGAGTCATCCGAGGAGCGTCAGAGTCACCTGAGGAGCGTGCTTGGCGCGTCCTCACCCAGAGAACCTGATTCATACGGCCTAGGTGGGGTCCAGGCACCTGCATTTCAAAACTCCAAAGGTGACGCTGAGGTTGAGAAACTCAGGTTTAAGCTCTCCAAATGCTGAACACAGGGCGGGAGGCAAAGGCTTCGCAGCCCAATACAACAGCTACTGGACGGGTGAAGCACCTACAGTCATTAAAGTGATCATGTGACATTCTGGAAAAAAAGCGTGTGATAGGATGTCGAGGACATTTTAAAAAGGAACTATGCGATAACATAAAGCCATGTGGACAGACTGGGGCTGGAGGGAAACCTGGAAAATTGAAAAGCTGCAAAAGTTGACTTCTTAAAAATTCCTTCATACGTGTTATTACTAAGTCATTTGTTTCTATAATAAAAAAAAAAAGTTATAATTAAAAATGACCCCTGGGGCTTGGCAGGGCTGTGTGAGAGACGTGACTCAGAGGGCATGCTGACGAAACGCAGCCAGCGCTGCGGGAACGCTGGCACCATTCCTTGTCCTCGTTAGGGGAAAAAGAAATGACTCCTTAGTTAAAAAGAACAGACCGACTTCGCCGACTGTTGCCCGAGGCGCTCCCAGCCTCCCGTGAACTCGGCATGGGTCCCCCTGGCACGGTTGGGTCGCTACACTGCCCTGGGCACCCTAGGGGTGCTCTCCCATGCTACCTCGTTTCCAGGGGTGCGAGGAGATTGGAGGAAATTGGCAGCCCTCAGTGGAGAGGGACCGTAGCCCCGAGCGGTCTGGAGAGGGATGTGGTCCACACAAAAGCCTCCAGGAAACCAGAGCAAACGCAGGTTTCTCCAGCTCCTGGGACAGTTTCTTCCTGCTCCTGAGTCGCCTCCAGGGTGTCGCGGGAGTGGCAGGCCACTGCCCAGGCTCCCACTACGTGCATTCCCCCGTTCCAGAAATCAGCGTCCCCCCGACGCCGCAGAGCGGAACCCCGGACGCGGCGGGCGGCCTTTCCCAGATGGGCACGTCGCTCAGTGCAGGGTACAGAAGGCCCGTCTCGGAGGACTGCAAACACGGCCACGAGGCTCCGTGTGCTGGACACACGCTGCCGGTTTACGTGTCTTTCTCTCACCAGCCCCATGTTACAGACGAGGAAACGGAGCAGATATGGAGCCGTGAGGCGTCTGGTTCTAGAAGAGAACCAGGGAGGAGCTGCGAATTCATGGACCTCCCGGAGCCGGGCACTGATTTGCACGTGGGAAGCGGGCCGGCTGAGCTTTGCTGACCCGGGCACACATGGGGACGCATCTGTCCGATGCCACTGATTGGCGCAACCCAGGAATGCAGGTCCAGTGCTGCCGGAATGCTTGGCTTCGTTGTTGTTATTCTAAGAAAAGCTGAAACTTTAGAAATTTCACTTGAAGTCTCTTAATTTTTTTTTTTTTTTTTTAGGAAAGGCTGACCTCATAGATTGCAAGGACCTTGTCAGCTTACAATGTCCCATCTCATAGATTGCAAGGACCTCGTCAGCTTACAATGTCCCATTTTTTTATTTTTTACGCCTGCAGCACCTGGTCTTCCTAGGTGGTCTCCCATCCACGTACTAACAATATCTCTTAATTTTTAAAAGTTGATCATTATCCCAAGATTAAAAAAAATAACGACATGCCTCTCAGCGTCCGTGTGCTTCCTACCTGCCGCTTTGCAACTCTGGAATGGTGGCCTCCCCGCTCTTACCTGCAAGAAGGGCAGGCACCTGCAGAGCGGCGCCAGGCCCTCAGGAGGCGGCAGGGGGACCCGGGTGACGCCCACCCCGCCCGCTCTCCGCACCTTGATTCCCTGAGCGACCGCGGCGGCCTTGTCGGCTTCCTTCTCGTCTGCCTGCACCACGAGCTTCTTGGCGTCGGCTTCTCTCGTCTCCTCTTCAATTTTCACCATCATCCGGGCGGTCTCCTCCGACGTGTGGATGAGTTGGGGTTGGAGGGCAGTCAGTTCGACTTGCATGACGGCCACCTGGCGAGGAGAGCAGGGGACGGGGGCAGGGTCAGCGGTGTCAGTGGTGGGAGCTGAGATGGGTCTCCCACCTGTGACATATGCGGAAAACACAGGTGACTGTAACACGGGATGTTCGCGTGGGCCGGACATTACCTGTCTGGTCTCTACTATGCATTGTGTTATGGAGCATTGTGCTAGGCCCCAGACACGTGACGGTAAACCTACACATTTTTAAAGGCACCACCTTTAAGAGCTGGAGTTCGCCCCATGCCCTGCTTCTGCCTCTTCAGGCAGCTCAGGCACCACCTTTAAGAGCTGGAGTTCGCCCCATGCAATGTTCGCCCACTGGCCCTGCTTCTGCCTCTTCAGGCAGCTTGGGTGCTTCTCTGAAGAGGGTTTCGGGACCTCGCACCCACCAGAGAGCCCGTGAGAGACAAGTGTGGCATGCTGGCCTGGTCAGGAGCACAGGCTCTGGAGTCATGTGGACCTCGGTTTCCATTTCGGCCCGAACGCTTGCAACGGCTGTGCCTGAGGCCGCAGGATCCTGGGCGAGGCACCTGGCCTCTCTGCGCCTTGGTCTCTCAGTGTGAAATGGAGAAGATGGCAGTGCCAGGCATGTGGCGGGGCTCAAGGATCGTGAACGGGCACCGTTCCTCACAACATAGCTCGCTCACCCTTCTCAACATCCTTCTAAGAGCGAAGGACCCCGAGTCGGACCCGGCACCCCCGGAAGCAGGGGACAGAGGACACCCCCACGTTCTCGCTCACACTGTGTGCAGTGCTGGTGTGTCCGCTGCACCAGCAACAGGCCAGCCTACTGGAACGCACTCCATTGCCTGAGGCCTTGGCTGGTGCTGAAAATGCGTGTCCTAATACGCTCTCATTTTAGATGGCTCGTCCAGTGGCTGGTGCTTGGCTGGTGCTGAAAATGCGTGTCCTAATACGCTCTCATTTTAGATGGCTCGTCCAGTGGCTCCAAGCTATGCGTGTCCTAATACGCTCTCATTTTAGATGGCTCCAAGCACACGCACATCAACGACCAGTTCACGGGCCAGGCATTGTGTACTTGTGTCAACTTGTCTAACCTTCCTAAGCACCCGATGAAGCAAAGACTGTCATCACCTCCTTTTCAATAGAAGAGGAAATGGAGGGCCCAAGAGCTTCCAGGGCCTCCAGCTGGTCAGCTGGAGAGCTGGAACCCGAGCCCAGGGCCCTCACCCATGGCCTTACTCTGCCAAGTCCCCCACTGAGAGCGTCCAGAACAAGGGCGAGGCATGGGGGGCGAGTGCCATAAACACGGGGTCAGAGGCTGTCTTCCCTTGTGCCCTCTGGAACGCTGCGCCTGGACACATGGCTCCCACATCTGCCTCGGCCTGGCCCTCTTCATCCCCAATCTATGCTGGCAGTGCTCACCTGGGAAGCTGCGAATTCCAGTTTCTGCAGGCCCGTCAGGTAGCGGTTCCTCATCATGTCAACCTCCTGCCTCTTGCTGTTCAACAGCGTCTTGAAGGTGAGGATCAGTTCAAGGTAGGAGGTGGGGGTGACGTAGTTGTGTCTACGAAGCGTGTGGTAGTAATCGAGCGACAGCTCCTTCACGTTCTCCTGGAAGTATTTGCACATGGAGACGACCCTGCCGGGGGCGAGCAGGTGGTCAGGTGGCCTGCGAGGACCGAGCATGGCGCCGGTTCCAGACCCGGGGGTGTGATGAGGCACACCGAGTGCGGCCCGCAGGAAACCCGCATTCTCGGAGCCGGTCAACAGAGCCGCGAGGAGGATTGAGGGGGTAGGTACGTGTTCTGCCCAGAATGGTCTCTGACCGGGTCATTTCTATCTCTGAGCGCTCTGTGAATCACCGGGGCGTAAGCAGGAGTCCTTAACCTTTGGCTGTCTGGTGGAGCCTCTGGACCTCGCAGAGTAAAGTTCTTAAATGCATGAAGTAAAACACATAGGACGACGATGATGCCGAAACAGAGTTTTCGAAATGTTTTAAAAACCACACTTGGGATGCATTAAAAAGGAGTCAACAAACTTTTTTCCCGGAAAGGGCCAGAGAGTAAACGTCTTTGGCTTTGTGGGCCACACAGTCTCTGAGCGACTACTCAATTCTGCTGTCATAGTGTGAGGAAGGGGGCACAGCGCCAGTGAAGTTTCACTTACGAACACAGGCTACGAACCGGATTTGGCCTGTGGATCGCAGTTTGCCAACTGCTGCATTAAATGAGAAGGCTGGACAGCAGGTCTAAAAGCCGCCATAATTTTGAAGGAAATGATAAATGGAGGAGTCTGCATGAGTGATGGAAAAAAAAAAATACTCCCATGGGCAACAGAGTCACAGGTCCTGCTGATGCTGCTGGGTTCCCTGCCTGCACGCACCGTTGACGGAAATGCAAAATACCAGCTGGGTGTCAGGGGAAGCTTCTCCCCATTCACACTCGCGGCCCCCCTACAGCACAAAGTTCAAAGTTCTTAAAACGGATTCGAAGCCACGGACCCTCTGACCCCTGCTTCCTCCTCCATTTTCCATTCATTCATTTAATGAGCAGTCACTGACGCTACGAGGTACCAGACACCTGCTAGGCAGTAGGGACACAGAGGCAGACAGGGCAGGTGACGTGAGCCCAGCCTTCAAGGGGCACCCAGGTGGGCCGACACCCTCACCTCTTCCCTTATTCTAGCTTCTCCTTTTGGTTTTTGTATATCTGTGCATTATTCATAGGAGAGTAAGTTCTTGTCACTCTCAGAAGAAGCCACGTTCGTCAATTTGGCAGGGAAATTCCTGTCGAGAATGATGCTCTGAGGCTGTTGAGATAGCCGTACTATTACATCCAGGTTCTCACGGCTATGACAGCTGTGCCTCTCCAGGACAATTCTGAGCAATAAGATTTTATTCTTTGTCAGAAAAGGTTATTTTATTAAATATCTGACTAAATGTGAATTTTAAAGTGTAAGACTTTTTTTTTTTTTTTTCCATCTAAACTGAGAAATCTTAAAATACCGACAAGAACAGAACCAATCTCGGGATCTTGCACCCAGAATATCCGGCTGGAGGACTGAAAGGCGGCTAACACTTACTCTCTCCGGATGTTATCATCGAGCTCCACGTCTTCCAGAAATTTGTTAGCCACCAACTCCAGGGCATCCGTGGGCCAGGACTGGAACCAGTCGATGGTACAGCAATTGATCAGTGACGGGAACATGCGCAGGCGGTTCCGAAAGGCATCCCCGATTGGACTCATGGCTAATGGGAAACAAGGCTTCGTTAGTCCCCTCCCTCTAAAGCAAGGAGGAAGCAGGCAGATCCTGCCAAGGATTCTGGGGGGTGGGGGTGGGGGGCTGCTGTCCCCTGCTGGTGCCCGGGCAGTAGCGCAATAGTCATAACGAGTGTGTGGGACGCGCAGGGAAATTGAGGCATGTTTTCGGTTTTGCGATGGGAACTCAGTGTGTTATGATAGCCTTCTGACTGGCCTCCCACGCCCATTACCGTCCCTTCCAGATCCTTCCGGGCACTTCGCCGGAGTGGTTTGGGGCCTGTGGCTCACTTGCTCTGTTTACACTGACTTAGACGCGAGGAACTGTGAGTACCCCACACGCAGCTACTTACAGAAGGTGCTGGCGGCGCATCAGCTTCTTTCCGACCCCAGCTCCATCCGACCACAAACCCTGGGTTCTAAACCCCAGGTTTCATTCACTTTTTATTTAGACTCAGCGTGGTAAGGGAGCGCGTGCTGCATACGTAGGTGGGTGAGCGGGGCAGTGTGGATGAAGAACAGGAGAGACGGGGAAGCTTCGTTTGGGACAAGAGTGGACAGGACGTGTGGACAGCTTGGCAGGCGGCCTTGTAAAACCCTAGGTTAGGAATCTGGGTCTTTATCCTAATAGCAAGCAATTCAAGTGTTTTAATTTGTGTGCATGGGTACACATATGCACGTGTGTGCACGCACGGTGATCGCATTTGCGAGATATTACAGAAATAATCCATCCAGGCTGAGGAACAGAGAGGTCTGGAATGGACCAGAGAGGACGTAGGACAGTGAGAAGGTTGCAGGGGTGAGGTCTGGGTGAGATGACGGCGGCTCAGCCCACGGGAAGGTGGGAAGGGGCTGAGGGAGCAGGGAGGCAGATACTGACGGGGCGTGGTACCCAGAGGGAGGAGCATTAAACACAGCCCCAGGCTTCCGGACACGCTGGACACGTCAGTCACAGGGAGGAGCCCTCCGGGTGCTGCTCTGCCAGGCACCGGGGTAACGTACCAAGAGGACGGACAGGCTTCAGAGGAGACTTTGGGGAACCGAGGAGGGTGGAACAGGGGTGAAGCGGAGGAAGCATCCACAGAAATGCCAGGCCTTGGCCCCGAGTGGGTACCCAGCCTGGATCGATCCGCAGACCGGTGCAAGAGGGCTGGGCTTAGGGTGCACAGGACACGCCGGAACACCCACGGGGGAGCGCAGCCCGGCCTTTGCTGCTTCTTACCGAGGACGATGTGAAGGTTCTTCTTGACCCTCTCGATAAAGAAGTTATACATAGACAGAGGGGTGACCTCGATCTTCTGGCCTTCTGTCCTGGCTGCCGTCTGCATCTTCTCCACCAGGTCCGCCTTCTCGTCGGCAGGGAAGATGTTAGGCACATCGCCTGTGTTCAGAAGCATGTTGATGTCCTCGACGAACGACTCGTCCTTGATCTGGTTGTCAGCGAAGAGGAACACGGTGCTCTTGGTGGCCACCCCGGCCTGCAGCATGACCTTCTTCAGGTCCTCCCTCCAGTCGCTGCTCGAGTAGCTCTTGCTGATCTCGATCTGGTACAGCTCGTATGAGTTCATGAACGTGGACAGCCTGCTGGCGCTCTGCCGCCCGCTGCCCCCGATGCCCACCAGGAGCAAGTGGCCTTTGTTCTGCTTCAGGACCCGGCAGATCCTGGAGATGTGCTCGATGGCGAACCGGAACATGACCAAGGACATGGGGGCCTTGCTGACGTTGTTGAACTCTTCCAGGTAGTACTCCATGACCGCCGTGAGCCGCTTCAGGTCGGTGATCTCGTCATAGACTTTTGGGTAACTGTCCGGTTTGAGGTAATCTCCAAAGAAGAGGCTGCGGATGTTATCGTCCACGATCTTCCCGGTGGGTGAAAGGTGGATGAGGATCTGCGGGAAAGAGAAGTCTCAGCCAGGCACTTGGCCGGCGGCCTGGTCCGAGCAGCAGCAGGGCCGTGGAGGAAAAGGAACGGGAAAAGCGTTTGTTTCCTCTGAGCTCGTTCTTCGAAGTCACAGTTCAGTAACAGTTTAAGTGGAAAAAAAACCACCATGCCGCGTGGATCTGATGGTTGTAAAGACTGCAATGGAAGGACGTTTGAGAAAAGAGTGTGAAAGCGAGGGCCGGACTGCGGCTGGATCGTTAAAACACCTGCGGTCCCCGGTCCCCGCTCCCCCGGTCCCCGCTCTGTGCCCAGACTGAGAACAGTGTAGACGCTCCCCCTTTCTGACATTGAAGCCGGCAGTGAGTCCACACCCGACCTCTGGATGAGACACCAAACGCTTCTGCAATTTTTCTATGAAGAAAACACGGCTTCTTAAAAATAGGGGTAGAACTAGGTGATTCGATTATATAGGCTTAAAACAACTTTTCTTACCTCAGATGGAAGAGAAAAAAATATTTGCGGATGGGAAACCATGACAACCTTTCACTGGACCTTCGCCGGGGCCTCCATCAAACCATGAAAATTCACGGTTCACATCTCAACCCCCAAATTAATTTTACCCTGAAAATGTGTTGAAAGTTAATTATAAACAATAGCATCATAGAGTAAACCTCTTTGGTTGGATTCAGGCTTATAAATTACCAGGGAAGTGAAGCAAAATTGGGCCAAGTATAATGTCACCAAATCTAGTGACTCACTGACTTGATACTGTTCCTCGAGGCTCAGAGGGCAGAGCTGCGGGTCTCTGCCAGGAGAGTCTGAGACTAGCACGGTCAAACACCCGGGACCATTTCTGGTGCCAAGTGATCATGGGGTCTGACTGACCTTCTCCACGGTCTGCTTGAAGCAGCTGGAGGTGGTTTCCTTCATCATGGTGAAGAAGACCTGTCTGTCCTCGTCGTCGATCAGCCGGTCATAGAAGACCCGGTAAATCTCGTGGATCCAAAGCCGCATAAGTTTTTCCACATCCTGAAAATCCAGAGTTGATTATTGGGATGAATGGGAGTGGGGGTGCTTAAGGTAACAGTCAGTTTCTGAATAGTCTCAGATAGTTTCTAAATACTGTGGTTGATGCGACAAACGAGACAGTGCCTATAAATCCTTAGCACGATGTCTATCGTAGATTAAAATGCCGAATAAAAGTCAGCTATTGCTATTATCATGGTATAGTCCATGCAGTCAGGGCTATCGCTGAGTGACCTGGGGAACAGAAATGACAGGGGCCCACCTGGAGGTGGGTGTGAGGGCAGAGCAGCACCCCTTGGATCACTCGAGCGAAGTCCCGCAGGTTAAAGACATAATGCGATTTGGAGGGAGTCGGCAGGAAATTCTCCACTGCAGCTTTGTAAATTGTCATAGTGGCCTGTACCAGCATCCTTCCATACCTTGGGAGGAAGGACAAGGCAGACCAGTCAAGGTGGGGCCGGAACCGACCACCCCAGGCCCACATCCGGGAAGACGCAGCCCCCTCTCACCTTAAGAACACCACGTCAAACCCTTTCCCAAAATGCCAGTCCGCGATCGAATTGAAAATCTTGGTTAAAATGTCATCTTCGAAGGCACTGATGGAAATGACATTCAGATGGCGAGTGAATCGTCCTGGAAAAGAAGCACGCGTGTGAGTGTGCACATTCGCTCTCACCTCCTGGGCCCAGCGGTTCTGGGACATGGGCGAGGTATGGGAGGATGTCCGCCATGACATTCTGGAGCTGTGCTGACCAATATGGCGGCCTCTAGCCACGTGTATCTATATCTACCTACATGTACATCTGCATCTACCTAATCTATGCGTCTAGTGTTATAGATCTATATATTTATACTTATATCTGTATGTATATATTGGCTTTATGGAGATATAATTCACAGTCATTTTGATGATCTGAAACCCATTTTCTAGTAGATTCCTGAAAAAGAAAGGGTTGTGGAGAAAAGTCTCTGAGTTCTGGCAATGTTGATGACAATTTTCCTTTTAGGTCAGCTTTGCCGGCTATAAAATTTTTGACTCTCATTTTATTTCCTTGAGTATCTTAAATATGTTATTCTATTTTCTTCCGGCATGCAGCATTACAGTTGAAAAGTCTTAAGATAACCTAATTTAATTTCTCTTATAAAAATCATGTTCTCTTTTTGCCTAAATGCCCAAAAGATTTCTTCTTTTTCTTTAAAGTCCATTAATTTGACTGGTGTATATCTTGAGAGTGATCATTTTCGAGTCCATATTCTTAGGTTCACAGTGTATGAAATATATCACCCTGCCCATTTCCCTTATTTTACATATGGGAAAGCTATGTGCCAGAGGGGACAGCAAGGTCACAGAATCTTAAGTCCGGAAATGGTACTCAGCGTCTTACGCAAGGCTGGATCTCAGAATGAAAATGCAGATCCTGCATTAACTGAGTTCTAGCTGAAGCAAAATGTACTCCTGTTCTATTAGATCATGGCGGGGGGCGTCTTATGTGCTTGTTTATTGTATTATTGTGCTCGGGCCACTTTGGGTTGGTTGTGCTCTGCCTCTGGCAATCTGACGCACTGTAACAAACACGACAGCGAATCTGTCACACACGCCTAGTTGAGGACTTCCGGTCTCGCCTCCGTCCTGGAACACAGGCCGGCCACCCGCACGCTCCTCTCCATCTGAGACTCGGCTCCTCCAGCCAAAGACTCCTCTCTTTCCACTTTTCCACCCTGTGTCCACGACTTCCAACGTGAAGTCTCTAAATGCCAGTCCCTGGAGCTGACCCAAATCCGTCTGGCCACGGCCTAAACATACTTCTCCCCAGCCTCCATTGGCACCGAGAGCCCCGCACCAGCCCTCCAGCTGTGAAGGGGTCTGGCTCTGCCGGGCGGCGAACAGGAGTAAAATTCTCTCTCACGTACCGGTAATGTCGTTCCTTCCTCCCCCAGGGGGTCCCATGGCTGTCACGAGCAGCACATCCACGATGTCCAGCTTGGTCGTGTCCTTCTTGTCGAACCAGTAACCGTGGTCAATCCACTGCCTCAGGAGCTCGATGGGGGGCTGGGCTCCGTACACCTCTTTGGCTGGCATGTTCAAGTCATCTGAGGAAAAAATCCAGGGCCACGCATTGTGAGTTTTGGGGACCTCCGCTCTCACAGGAGGCAACAGGTGACTATGCCCTCCATGGGAGAGTCCGTGCCAGCTGTCCCACTGCAGGCTGGGCTCAGCCAGTGGACTTTCGGACTATATGGGAGGAGGTCTTCCTGGGTTCGGGGCTCTCCTGCCTAACAGATCTCTGCACGGATTGGCATCGACAAACAGCATTTATTTTTTCCCATTCCCTCAACCAAAATACACTGACTGTCTGCTACGTAATGGCCATTTTGTTCATCTCCAGAGACATGACGGCGAGGGAGCCAGCCATACGCCCAGCCAACAGGGTATTTCATTCGACCTGCGGGTAAGAGTTGAACTCTAACGCTGCAGAGCACGGTTCTGGACTAGGGTTTTTTGAGGAGCAAGACCTAAACGGCAAGAACAGGCTGTGACTTTGTTGAGGGCAGGGACCGACTTGCCCCGAGAGCACGTGGCCCAGTCTCTGCACGAAGAAGGCCCTCGACAGAATGGCAGCACGTGTTGCTCCAGCAAACGTGAACTGACTGCCCAGTTTGCGGCAGGAAACATTTTAGGAGTCTTCCATCTACCGTCCCCTCTAATCCAAATAACGGCCCCACGTTGGAGGTGTGATTGGGTTAAAAGGAGAGATTTGAACCTAGATCTGTTTGGCTGCCAAACTGCAACCGTTTTTGGATATACCCTAAAAATAGGAAGGGAAAACAGGATGGAGGAAAGGAGAAGGGGGGAAAAAGATGGGGAAAATAAAAATAAAACGAGATCCGGCCTTTAAAGAACTGAGGTGAGCGAGCAAGGATACAAATACACACAATTTCGCCATCGAGACCTGAATTTTAAAGACAGTGCAATAACCCAGATGAGTAGGGAATTAACTATTACCAAATGAGAATGTATTTGGTACCAAGAAACCTGGGTTTGGGTCACAGCTCCAGAATTTTCTAGGTGTTTGCCTCTGAACAGGGAATTCAATCTTCGGGAGCCTCAGTTAACTGCCTAATAAAATGCTAATGATGGTGGGTGAATAACCTCACAGGGTCGTGAGGCTCCATGGACATAAATGAAGACGCGCTTTGTAAACAGGTGAGATCCTGGGGAAATTCCATGTGCGTATTTCACAAATATTTATTTGGCAACTGTTGGGCTTCTTCACTTACTGACAACAGGTTTATGGGACATGAAATGGAACAAGGGTGTTATCATAGAGCTTGTGCTGCTTTTAGAGATGCAGGAGGGCAAATGCCCTCATCCCGTTCTGGAACCACTTCTCACTGGAGGCAGCCCGCCCATCAGGGGCTCAGCTTCACCCAGAGGAAACCGGAAGCCTGCCTCAGGCACCAGGCCTGGGCCATGTCTTACTTACTGAAAATCTGTCCCATCGTACTTGGTCAACGAATACTTGGTAATGAAAGGACGAAAGGAAAGACCAGACAAAATTAAAGAAGGAAGGAACGGAGGGAAGGGAGGGAATACTGAATTATATTGACCGGAAACATTTCATCTTGGAGAGAGGAACAGAACCGTAGAACGAACGCCCGGACAAAGGGAGGTTCGGCTTTGCTGCAGCCCGGAGCGGAAGAATCTGGTTGTGCCCAGATCCAGGTCATCACCTTACCTACGAATACCACCGCCTTCTTCCCTATGGGAGGCCCAAAGAGGCCCTTCCGCCGTCGATCCAGCTTGGACATGATGATATCCTGGGTCTGACCGGCTGAGGTTCTGGCAGAGAAATTGATGCAGTTGGGCAGGTAGGTGTTTTTGGGAAGGTGGAGAAGGAAGTTGTTGGTGATGGCTGATTTGCCAGTGCCCGTGGGTCCCACAAATAGCATTGGAATCTTATGGTCCAGGTACGTTTTCAGGAAAAACGACTGCCGGGCTGTCTCCATGGTGGGGATGATGAGCTCTGAAACCTGCGCCACAGAGACACGCGAGAGGCTTGGGGCTGGGCCCGGGAAGCCGGGTCTCAGCACTCAGAGGGCCCGCTTCCCCCTTACATCCCATTCAGCTCCATCCTTCACTATCGTTTTGACCTTGAGTGGGCATCGAATCTCTCCAGGGGCCTCAGTCTCTTCATCTGTGAAATGGGATAACAACGGCCCCTGGTTCGCTGAGCTGTTTTAAGGATTAAATGAGACCATGCATGTAAATATGGGTGTTATTGTCCCTGCTTTACGGATGAGGAAACTGAGGCCCAGAGCCCTTCTGCAACACAGCGAGTGAGTGGAAATGCAGGGATTTGAGTCCCCACTGGTCTGATTGTAAAGTCTATATTCTGAATCACCGAACTGGCATATTATAAACACTGATTACAATCAGGATGAGTCCATAGCCGTTGCCCTCGGAGGCCACTGCTGGGAACCAACCCGTCTGCCTCCATGTGCCATCCCTACTGCTTGGCTGAGAGGAGGTCAGGGGTTTCTTCACATTCACCCCTGCTTATGGCACCCTTTTCACGAGCAGCTGTGGTACTGCCTGGTGTCTGACTTGCCAATATTCCCACTTCCCATCACCCTCTTCCGCTCCATTCGGGGCCTGAATGATCTACAATCGCTGCGCCCCTCCCCGCTTCTTGAAAGAGAAATTATGTCCACTGGAAATGAGTCGTAGGTGAGTCATCTGCTAACCAGAAAACCTATTAATCAGAACCTGTTTTTCTGAGAATTCTGGTAAAGAAAATCTTTCTCGGGGGATTTGCAAGAAAAGGCAAGGATCCTTTTTGGCTGAGATGTCTTAAGAGGTGGCCTGATGACCGTAATAATCAGAAGAGTAGCCACTATTCGAGCACGTAGTATGTGCTATGTGCTCATGTATATTGTCGCCAATCCTTGCAACCACCGTTCAAGTATTTTTTTCTGTTATTTTGTAGTTGAGTAAACTGAGGCAGAGAGGACGAAGGCTGAGTAAGAAATCTGAGTCTCTAATTCTCAAGTTCGTGCTCTTGCAGGCTCACCCCAGCTCACATTTGAAGCTTTCTCTAACAAACGTTCTCTGAAATGCTAACATAGAAATGATATGAATTCTTCTGCCTTAGAAAATGACCAGGCCATTATGGAAGCCAAAGCTCCACAGCCAATATCCCTCCTTTACCTTTGCGTTGCTTAGGATAGTTTCCTCCTCTTTGGTGATGTACTCTGTCCAATTGCACCAGTGTCCACTACCTTGCTTGAGGAAATAAAAATCGTAGATGCTTCCTGGACCCAAAGAAACAGACCAGGCCGTTAGCACAGCGGGGGTTGCATTTCATATCTGAGATATTTAACTATTTCTGCTAGAGGCATCTGCAAATGTATAACTACCAGTGCGTGCACAGCTGTGGTGAAACTTCCACTTCGTTGGGAAACTATTCACCGGAACACCTTTTAAAGAGTAATGATTATCTGTAGAAAAATGATAGGTTCTCTTTGTACAGATCATCCAATTATTTTAATAATGTAAACAGGAAGTGTTGAAAAGAACAATAATAAGAAAAGGCAATAAAGCACCCTAAACCTTCCATCCAGAAATAACTTTTGATGGCAATCCTTCCAGCCCTCTCTCTAGGCAAATGCAATGAAGATGGAAGGGCGGACAGACGAAAGAAAGGATTTTACGAGAATGGGATAACTTGATGCATACTATTTTAAAATAAAGATGTTAAATTGAACTTTACTTGAATCTAATAGAAGAAAAGGAGCTGACAGGAAACGGAAGGACCTGCCGAACTTCAGATAAACCGTTATTTGCGACAAAAGAAACTGGTTCCTAAAAGCTGCTTCGAAAATAACTAAAAATATAAGGTGAGTCATTAAATGGTTAAAGTCCCTATGCTTTAAAAAAAATAATTCAATCCAATTTTGTTATCGTATTTTAACGTTTTGTTGTCAAAAACGAAAGAATACATGACAGTAAGAAGAATATTATAATAAACGGCCAAGTATCCATCATCCGGCTTCAACGATTATCGACAGTCCTGATTCTTGTCTGGTCCATGTCCCCATCACCAGCCACCACCATATTTGCTTTTCTCCCTTCTTCCCTCCTGACTTCCCCACCGCACTTTCCTTTCTTCGTCTGGGGTATTCTGAAGCCAATCCTGACACCGTGTTTTATTTGCAGGTGCACGTGACTCAGCGTTAGACCGATCTTATCGGTCCCTTTACAAACTACGAACTGACGAACCCCACCATGCCCCTCCTCTGGCTCCTTTTGTTGTTGATAATGATGTAACTTTTACTTTGTCATGGTTTATAACATCCAATTTGTTCTGTCACCACAGTTCCCCGGTTCCGTAGTCTTTAGGTCTATATTTGATGAGATTCGCTGCTCAAACGCCGGCCTTTTGACGCAGACCACATAAGAGTTTTTTGAGCCGTCTGTTAGTTGGCTGATTTCATGTTTTTTTTTTCCCGAGCAGGGACTTAGGCTCATCTTGTCAGTTCTTACATGGTTAAGAATGCCTGCCTGTTGCTTTTGTATTTGAAAAGTCGCTTGGCTAAAAGTAATATTCTTGTCACATTTTCTTGCCCTCAGAATTCTGCAGAGGATTGTTTTATTATTTCCTTGCATTTTAAGTTGTTGTGCGAAGGTTAGAGGCCCATCAGATATTTACCTCTTTGTTGACTTTATTTCCTATCTCGGTATCTGATGGAATCTCTTTTACCCTGGAGTCCAATAATTTAATCAGGTTATTTCTTTTGGTTGATTATTCTATATCAGTTTTTCTTGGAACGTAGCATACTCTTACAATTTGTAGGAACAGTTCTTCATTTTAGGAAAAATTTCCACATTTATATTTTGTATGTATTGTCTATACTACTTATTGGGTTACCTACTTAAGGAATTAGCATTTTTTGGCCTTTAGATCAACTATATTTATAATTGCTTTAATGCATTTGTCTTTTTCTTCTGTAATAAGTTTAATCATCTCTAACCTTTTCTCTAAGTCATTTATTACATATCTAGACTCATATATTTTCTTCCTCGCTGGTTCTAATTTATTGATTAGATTATTAATAGTTTTGTTCAGTTCTCAAATTGTTTCTTTGGTATCTCAATCCTTCTTTTCCTCTAATTCTACAGTTTGTATCACCTTAGCTACAAACTTTCAAAAGACAGCTTTATCGAGATATAATTCACCAATTTCGAGTATACAATTTAATGGTTTACTAAAAATATTTGTATATGTGAATATACTAATATTTACAGAATTGTGCAGCCATCACCACAACCCATAATAGGATGTCTCATTATCAAAAAAGAAAACCTGCACCCCTTAGCTGTAACCCCTCGAATCCCCTCCTGCCCATCACCCACCCCCACAGCCCCAGGCAACTGCTAATCTACTCTCATCTCTATGGATTTGCCTCTTCTGGACATTTCATATGAATGAACTCATACAATATGTGTTCTTTGGTGACCAGCTTCTTTCATTTATCATGATGTTTTTAAGGTTCATCTGCGTCATAGCATGTATTTCTTCATTTCTTTTATTGTTGACTAATATTTCATTGTACGGATATACTGTATTTTATGTATTTATTCATCAGTTGATGACATTTCGGTCGATTCCACCTTTTGGCCAGTATGAATAATGCTCCTATGAAAGTTTGTGGACAAATTTTTGTGTGGACGTATGTTTTTGTTTCTCTTGGGCATATGCCTACGAGTGGAGTTGCTGGGTCTTTGGGAACTCTGTTTAATTTTGAGGAACTGTCGGATTCTGTTTTCTAAAGCTGCTGTCCCATTTTACAGTTCCATTATGTAATTTCCATTCATATGTGAGGGCTCCAATTTTCCCAGGTTCTCATCAACACTTGTTTTCCATCTCTTTTATTATTCCCAGCTTAGCTGTGAGGTGGCATCGTGTTTTAGACGTGTATCCTCCTGATGGCTAATCACGCTGGGCACCTTGTCATGTGCTACTGGCTTTTTGTATGCCCTCTTTGGAGAAATGTCTATTTGGTTACTTCACACATTTTTTAATCGGGTCATCTATCTTTTTGTTATTGAATTGTAATACTTCTTCATATATTCTAAATACGAGTCCCTTATGAGATATATGATTTGCAAAAAATTTCACACATTCTGTGAGCTGTCTTTTCACTTTCTTGATATTATCCTTTGAAACACAAAAAGGTTTAATTTGGATAAAGTCCACTTTACCTCTTTTCTCTTTTGTTACTTGTTTTCGGTGTCCTAAGAAACCACTGCATAGTCCAAGGCCATGAGGATTTGCACCTATGTTTTCTTCTAAGAATTTTGTAGTCTGAACTCTTAAATTTAGGCCTTCAATCCATTTCGAGTTAATTTTTGACTATGGTGTGAACTAGAGGTCCAAATTCATTTCTTCACATGCAAATAGTCAGTTGCCCAGCACCATTTGTTGAGAAGATTATTCTTTTCCTATTCGATTCTCTTGGTATCCTTGTCAAAAGCCAAGTTACCATAAACATGAAAGGCTTATGTCTGGACCCTCAATTCTATTCCACTGATATATATATCTACCCTTTTGCCAGTAACACACTGTTCATCTGTGAACTTTTAAAAAATTAAATTCGTTTTATGACTAAGTTCTTCCAACAGAAATGTTTTCTGTTTCTTAGGTCATACTTTCATTTAGATTCTCTCTCTCTCTCTCTCTCTCTCTCTCTCTCTCTCTCTCTCTCTCTCTCTTTCTCTCTCTCTGTCTGTCACTCTGTCACTTTCTCCCCGGTGTTTGCATAGTTTCCATGCCATCCTTGCTCTGATATAATCAGGCAAGTTCTTCTTGACATCTTTCCCAATGTTTTCTGGGGCTAGTTTATCTCTACCACTTCCTTAACCACGACTCCAGACTCGGTGGATAGCTTTCTTTTCTGTAGCCCAAGGTCACGAGGATTGGGTAAACAGAAACACTGCGTTGCCCTTGCTGGGCTCTGCACTGTCTGAAATCTGGCCAGCTTCCCTGATCGATGAGTCCACCCTCTCCCACCCCAGCTAGCAATGTGCCGGTAGGATTCGGCGTGCATCCCTAACCTGGCACGGGGCTCTGAAAGATGCAGACCCGGGCAGTGTCTCCCGCTTCCGCTCGGATCCTGCAGAACAACGCAGGGGTTTCCTGCTTGAAGGTTTCTCTTCGTCGTTTTCCACAGCTGCCCAGTCACCACTGTAGTCCACTTTTCACCATGTTGGTGATGACCAGTAATCACCAGGGGATTTTTAGGCTTAAAATGCCCGTCATTGCCGTTGTTCATTTCATTAGGTATTAAAGGGGCGAGCTTCTGTTATCCGACGTCACTGTGCGACTCTACCTGGAAGTCCATCTGGCACAACACTTCTAGAAAGCCATCTGGCACTATGCTTACAGGGCCACGAAAATGGCCTCGAGTCTAAGTCAGAAATCTCACTGCTGGGAATTCATCCTAAGGAAATAATTCGCGATGAAAATACCCTCTGTACATGAGTATGCAGCACCATCTGTGAGAGCAAAATTTTGGAAATAGTTTGCATGTCCCACATTGGGGAGCTCAGTCAAAATGATCTTTTAAGATGAATGGAATATTTTGCAGTCATTAAAGTGGTAGTTGCAAAAACTAAGCACGGACATAGAAAAATGCTTTAAGGAACAATGACAAATGAAAACAGAAGAATAAAAAATGGAATATATACCATTATGGCAACTATATAAAACGATGAAAGCAGACAAACAAGACAGGAAAAGTTTTTTGTTTTTTTTTTTAACTGAAATACCTGTGATAGGGAGGTATGAACACAGAGATACTTTTCGGTCATTTTTTATTTAATAGAATTGAATTGTTTTTGCAATAAAATAAAAAGAAGACACTAAAAGCAAGGTTTAGAAAAGCGCTTACCCCAGCCCCTTCCCTTGCTGATGTTATTAGCTAGAGCTACTTTGTGGCTTGATAGACACATTTAAGCCAAAGAGAAAAGGCTCAACTGAGTAAAAGTGAATTTGTCAGCTGTATGACCTTGGCTAAGGTTACCACTTGCGCATCTGTAAAATTGGCCCGATTTTACGTCCAGCTTAGAAAATCACTGCAGGGGGTGAGTGAGATAGATGTGTCCCAAACATTTAGCACAGCTCTGAGCACACAGAAAGCACTTGATAACTTCCGGCTCTGGGTTTCCTCGGTTCTCATCATAGTGATGAATCCTGTTCACTCTGCGCTGTGACTGTAGCTCACTCTGGTCTGAGACGGCAGAAACCCAGGAA